ATCCCGACCCCTCGTACTTACGCTGAGGCGGTTTCGGGACCCTGGGCCTCTCAGTGGATAGCTGCCATGGAGCAGGAGATGGCATCTTGGAGATCCACCGGCACCTTCGTCGACGCAGTTCCCCCACCTGGGGTGAACGTGGTCGATGGCCGTTGGCTCTTCAAGGTGAAGCGCCCTCCTGGAGAGCCGCCTGTGTTCAAGGCGCGCTACGTGGCTAGAGGCTTCAGTCAGCGCGAGGGGGTGGACTTCTTTCAGACTTTCGCTCCTACCCCGAAGATGACTACTCTTCGGGTGCTGCTACACGTAGCGGCTCAGCGTGACTACGAGCTTCACTCCCTCGACTTCTCCACTGCCTTTCTTCAGGGCAGCCTTCACGAGCAGGTCTACCTGCGTCGTCCTCAGGGCTTTACTGGCACCTTCCCCCCTGGGACCCAGTGGCTTCTGCGGCGGCCAGTCTACGGCCTGCGCCAGGCGCCTCGTGAGTGGCACGACACTTTGCGTGCTACCCTTGCTGACCTGCAGTTCTTTCCGTCCTCTGCAGACCCCTCGCTCTTCGTTCGTGCTGGCTCGACTCCGTTCTACATCCTCGTCTACGTAGACGACCTGGTCTTTGCCACTGCTGACAGGGACGCACTGGCCTCCGTGAAGGCAGAGCTGCTGAAGAGACACACCTGCACTGACCTTGGAGAGCTGCGCCGTTACCTTGGCTTGCAGATCTCCAGGGACAGAGCCGCGCGCACCATCACCCTGACTCAGTCACACTTGGTGCGCCAGGTCCTTCAGAGGTTCGGCCTTCAGTTCTCCTCCGCACAGCCCACCCCTCTTCCTCTGGACCACAGACTCTCCGCTCCAGTTCCTGAGGAGTCGGTAGATCCCAGTGGTCCTTACGCTGAGCTAGTGGGTTGCCTCATGTACCTGATGACTTGCACTCGCCCAGATCTCGCATACCCTCTCAGCATCCTGGCTCGTTTCGTGGCCACAGGCAGGCACCGACCTCAGCACTGGTCTGCCGCTAAGAGGGTTTTGCGTTATCTTGCAAGTACATCGGGCATGGGGTTAGTGCTAGGCGGACGCAGGCCAGTGGTCCTTACTGGACACACAGACGCTTCTTGGGCAGACGACGCCGAGACGCTCAGGTCTTCCCAGGGCTACTGCTTTAGCCTTGGTTCAGGTGCTGTCTCGTGGAGAGCTACCCGCTCTTCGTCTGTTGCCCAGTCCAGCTGTGAGGCCGAGATCTACGCCGGTGCCATGGCGGCACAGGAGCTCCGCTGGCTGACCTTCTTGCTCACTGACTTAGGTGAGCGGCCTAGCTCTGCCCCGGTCCTGTACGCTGACAACAGGGCCATGATCCTCCTGTGTCAGGAGCCTCGACTCGAGGGCAGAGCGAAGCACATCCAGCTGCGGTACTTCCTCCTGCGCGAGCTACAGCAGCGTCGCCAGGCTCGCGTAGTACACTTAGCCTCCGGTGCCAACACAGCTGATATCTTTACGAAGGCGCTTGCGCCTAAAGATCATCAGCGGCACTGTGTGCAGCTTGGTCTGGTTCCTGTAGTCTCTCACTTACTCGGGCCTTGACTCTGTACTGTCCTATATATCTGTGTGTACACTCAGACTGGACTTGTGTCCTCTTACAGTGGTTGGACTAGTAGTGCCGCCCTGTACTAGTTCTTGCCTTGCCTGTACTCCTTCTGACTGGTCTTTTAGACCCTTGTCTCAGAGGCTGGACTAGTAGTGCCACCCTGAGCTGCTTGTCTAGAACATTCCCCTATGCAGTCCAGGGGGTGTGTCAAACATGTTTAGTTATCATGCTTGTATAGACTGTATAGGGTTATCTTCTAGAGAGTACAACATTTAGGTATATGTTTGTGTACTCTCTCTCACTATTCACCAATTTCACTGTTTGTTAGACTTCAGTAAGCAGGTAAGAAACTAATCCCGTATGGGATGTTGAGAATAGCCCTGATCCTGCGAAGGCTGCAGAAGCGGTATATCAACGAAGTCTGTGGATGCAAGCACTGCAGAAAGGCCTATCAACGAATAACAGATTTGTCGACAAGGCGAGGTTCAGCGGAAATGCTTGTCGATGAAGAGCAATCCCGTCGAAGTGACTATGTTGCTCATAACGCAGCTCCTGCGAGAGACGAATTTCTACAAGTGGCTTCTACGACAAAAGCGGTCTTCTGTGGGAGTGATCTATGCAGATTACTGAATGGAGAAGACCCTTTTGGCGAGGACCCATTCGCAGGAACTCTCTTCTATGGGAGCGCTCCTGCAGAAAGAGTTCGGAACACTCTTCTGTGGGAGCGCTGCAGAAAGAGTTCAGAACTCTCTTCTGTGGGAGCTTTCCTGAAGGAGTTTGGAACTCAATTCTGTGGGAGTGCTACAGAAAGAGTTCGCAGAACTCTTTCTATGAGAGCGCTGCAGAAAGATTTCGGAACTCTCTTCTGTAGGAACGCTACAGAAAGAGTTCGCGGAACTCTCTTCTGCAAACGACTCCTCGACAGAAATGACTTTCTGGCGCTAAGGGGCCGTTCCGAAAGTGCGCGAATTTCCGCCCCTTTGGAAGTTTTGAAATGAACCGATCTAGACCGAAAAGGCAAATCTACCTACGACATTGAGAAATTGAACACAGGTGACGCACATTTCGTAACTGCGGAAATGTGCGTAACAGCTGGCAGCTTTATTACCTGCCACTGCTGACTTGGCTAAGTGCAGTTGGAAAAAAATGATGTCAACGTTCTAGTAGGAACGTTCTAACAGTGTTCAATGAGGTAGTATTAGCGTTTGCCTTGTGTACTATACTCCGTATTATTCTTGATTCTAGTGAATTTTGTGTTAATGCAAGTTTGTCAAGCTGTACTGCTGAGCACACAATCTGGAGGCAGACTTCTCCCTGGAGAACTGCAGAGCTAAAGTAGCTCTGTCTGCGTCAGGCACTTCCGCAGAAGCTTCCGTTATAGCAGAAAAATCTGCATGGGATATGTGCATGCGGCAAGGGAGCATGAGCATGGGCATGTGCATTGAGAGCACACCATAAGGGAGCATGTGCGAACGTTCTTGAAAACATGTTGCCCATTCACAGGGAGGGGGAGCTTTGGGAGGAAAGTGAGAGATGAGGGGTGTCTTGCTTTATGTGGTCAGCCGCAGCAAACGGGGGAGAGGGATGGTTGGTTCATTTAGAAAATATGAACCATTCGAGTTTATCGTTGGTTCCTTCATCTCTCCCCACCCTTTCCCCTCCTGTCCCCCTCCCCTCCACTGCCACGTTCCCATCAGCTCCTATGCGAGAATCTACTCAGGGACATCGCTCAGAGGCATCGCTTGATCGCTGCATTCTTTCTCCTCCTCTGTCCTCCCCATCCCCTCCTCTTCCATATCATGTCATCAACTCATATACGAGAAGCTACCCAAGGGCATCGCTCTGATGCATCCTTTGATCCCTTGCCCCCTCATGTCTCCGCACCCCTCCTCCCCTACCTCCTCTTCCTCCCCCTACCCTGCCATCTCGCGTCATCAGCTCATCTACGAGAAGCTACCCAGGGACATCGCGCAAAGGCACGTGATGCTGCTGGATCCGGTATTGGCTTCATGTGGGTACCTCTCTCTGTCCCTGCTCTCTTCTTTCCTCGGACCTGAAAGCGAGTGTTAGCTCTTTCATTACCCAAGGACATTGCTCAGAGGCATGCTATGCTGCTGGATCATGCATTGGCTTCGGTGAGTCTTGTGATAAGTCCTTTTCGTAAGTAATTAATCCTATAATATAATCTCCTTGCTCGAAACATGGGGATGTAGCTCAGATGGTAGAGCGCTCGCTTAGCATGCGAGAGGTATGGGGATCGATACCCCACTTCTCCATTGTTGTTTTTCCCCTGAATGTTCCAGCTGAGGAATGGACTCAATTTGCTCATCTAACATCTTTGACTAGCTTGAGAACCGCGGCAACATACAATTGGCCCAGATGAGGTCCTAGCATGGTACAGTGCCATTTCGTGAGATGCTTGATTAGTCAGAAAACCACGTTTTATGAAAATGATACATGAATTCAAAACTCCTGACAACGTCCTTAAGATTTGCCTTAGCTGGAAATGCTGCAGTAATTGAATGTCGGTGGGTGCAAGAATGTGTTTGATAGTCAACATGTTTTGCTACAAATGGAGATCCGTAGACCATGGCATGTATGGGTTGTGTGTAGAGTTCGGGTGATTTGCTATTCAATGGTCGCAGAGCGTGATGCTTTGTTATTTTGTAGAGGCATAGAATTCTGTACCGAGGCGTTTATGACATGCAGGGGTTGACGCCATAGTTGCTTTGTGATATTTTATGCCTCCCTTCTGAATTTGTGCACGCACTATTATTGTTTCTTACGGGAACTGGAATGGAGGCGGCAGTATGTTGGCTTTAGCGAGTAACGAACGTCTGGGCTCAGGAGCAGCTGTGCACACACCGTCCTGGAACATTGTGCTAGGACCTATTCCTAATTCGACTCTGATCTGCCTCATTTAGTGAAGCAAAACGCACCTCAGTTTCGGTCCAATAGAGTACCCGATTTTCCCTTTTTCCACCCTCAATGAGCAAAGGGCGCTTAACCGGAAAGTCAGTCCCTCGTGGTAACAGTTTTTCACAAACTAGATGTGTACTGCCTAACCGTCAAGAGAACATGTCCCGGAGATCGGTAGGAATCACCCTCCCCATCCCGACCTTTTCGGGAATCCCATCATCCCAGGCTAAGCTCCTCTCCCTCAGAAACGGAGGTAAGGTAGAACAAGCTCTTGCATCCAGCGACCTCTAGGGGATTTCTTCAGTGGACCATTGATAATCTGTTTCCGGTTGACATCTCAATAGCAATAGCTTTAGTTCCACCGCTTCGTTTTTTGTCTCTCCTCTTGAGCATCCATTCCGTCGGTTTCACCAAGTGCAGCCTCGGAGAGCAGCCGAGATTTTCCTTGTTTCATCAGCTCTCGCCATCTTCATTTTTTTTTTTACACTTCAATTTCCATTGCAATTCTCATTTTGGAGTTACGAGATGGAGAATCGCACGTACATTGATAGGCTTCCTGACGAGCTTCTCATCCGCATTCTATGGCATTCCTCGAACCCGCCATCGTCTTACAAATCTGACAGTGACGCTTTATGGTCCTCACTGGATCTGCAGCCGAACTACTTCTACGCGAATTCTTCAGCCGAGAAAGACGGCAGCCAGGAAGACAAGGCCGTGCTACTGATCCCTCCCGCCTTAGCAGATGCAGCGTATAACATCCTCATCGCATCCAGCTGCCGACGCTGGCGTCTACTCGCTCGACGCTACGTCTCCTCGCTTCTCGTTGAAAAGGATCGCGTCGTTTCGCTCCAAGATCTCTCCAACTCCGTGTCTTGCTTTCCGAGCCTCACCCATCTCCATCTGGAAAACGACAGCGTGGAGGCGCTTGACGACGCGTTCCACGCTCACCTCGCATCTGCGTGTCCGAAGCTGACGGTTCTTCATGTGGGTTACAGGATCACGCCGTTTAGCTACGACGCCAGAAAGCATCTCCATCCGATTACCGAATCTGGTCTGGACCATTTCTTCAGGCAGTGCTCTCAGCTGCAGCAGCTATCCCTTTATTGCCTCCACAGGGACACTCAGCTTCCGGCGTCCTTCTTCTTGCTGACAAATCTGCACACGCTTGTACTAACCGACGCGTCAGCACTAGAATCTCCTGTTCTGGTGAACCTTTCTTCTCTCGCCACCCTGCACATTGCCTCCTCGAAGCTAACCCGTGAGCAGTTGTCAAGCCTCGTTCGCCTCTCAAGCCTTACAAGCCTCTCAGTCTCCTCCAGAACAACTGTTCACGGCTCTGCTGCTTTCGCCTTCTCGCAACTCGCTTCTCTAAAGTCGCTGGAATTTGGGGGATTCGGTCCCAGTTTCAACATATTGTTTCCTTCAGCGGCGCCTTACAAAAGCCTGGAAAATCTGCTGATTTCTTACTGCGACCAGCTGGAGCGGTTTCCTGATGACTTTGGAGAGCTGCTGCCATCTCTCCGAAACCTGACCATCCGCGAGTGCAACAATATAACCCATCTGCCCGGGAGCTTGGCTTCTCTCAGCTTTTTGGAAAGCCTGAAAATTTCCACGTGCTTCTTGTTCGAAGACCTGCCCGGAAACCTGGGGCAGCTGCCTGCCCTGAAAACCTTGATTCTGGATGATCTGCATCTGTCGAACCTCCCTGACTCCCTCTGCAAGCTACCCTCTCTAAAGACACTTTTTTTGATTCATTGCTGCCAGATTCAGCAGCTGCCAGAAGCCTTTTCCAACCTGACATCTCTCGAAACACTCTGCGTCATGCACTCTACGCAACTGGTGGTTCCGGAAGACATTGGAGAGCTGACTAATCTCCACACGCTTGCTTTGAATGAGAGCCTCGTGCAGCCGCTTCCTTGTTCCTTCACCCGGTTGACATCCCTGACCAGACTTGAGCTGGATGACTGCTGGATTGAAGTCCTTCCTGCGGATATTGTGAAGCTGACCAGCCTGCAAGAGCTGTACATCCATGACTGTCCAATCAGGGAGCTTCCAGAGTTAGTCACTGCTCTCACCAGCCTTGAAATTCTGTCGGTTGGTTCCTGCAGTCAGCTCTCTTCAGTGCCTAGCAGGCTGGATGCGCTCGGGAGGCTCAAACGGTTGGAAGTGACCAAGTGCGGAGTGCTCAGTAACCTTCCTGAATCCTTGCCACCTTCTCTTGAGACTCTCAAATTCAGAACCTCCAGCCAAGTCACTGCTGTGCCAGACTTCTCTGTCCTGCCGAAGCTGAGGAAGCTGAGCTTGAATCTGGATGGTATCGAGCAAGGGCTCCGATTTTTCAACAGTTTATCTCATCTGACGGAACTGGAGCTGGGATTAGCTGAGGGTGCTGAGGAGCTACCATTACCCTTGTCTTCCTTCCCTCATCTACATATCCTGGCAATTTCAAGGGCTGGGAAGATGGAGAACCTTCCGGAAAACCTTGGATCGGATCTGCAGCAGCTGTGGCAGTTGAGGATCCGTGGTGCTGCAAAATTGAAGGATCTTCCAGCAAGCATCACACAGCTTCGACACCTAACATCCTTGGAGATCCAGCATGCTCCAGAGCTTTCTTTTCTTTCGGATGGCCTTGGAGCCTTATCTCGGCTCCGGGAGTTACGCCTGTGCTACTGCTCATCTCTGGAGCATCTGCCTGATTCCTTCTCCCAGCTCGCCTGCCTGAACAAGCTGGTAGTCATCAATTGCTCCATCCGCCGTCTGCCTTCCCACTTCGCCCAGTTGACCCGGCTGAGGAGACTCAGATTGGACGGGTGTAAGCAGCTGCAGGGGCTTCCAGAGGGGATTACTGAGCTTAAGAAGCTGCACTCGTTGAGTGTTAAGGATTGTGAGGAGCTGACGGATACTCTAGACTTGGATGGATTCTATGGAGTTTGGATATCCGCCGGGCCGCAAAGCCTCTAGTGGTTGGACTGGCATTCATGTCTTTTAAAACGTAAGTTACTTAAGATACCTAGTTGGGTGTGAAACAGAGGGGAGTTGGGGGAACTGCTGCTAGAGGAGCAGAGCGAGTGGGGGGTGGAGGTTTGTAGCAGAAAAAGGTGCTTTGGTGGAGGACAGAGAAGCCTTGGAGCCTTGGAACCAAGGATGCACTCCCAACCCAAGGCGCGAGAGATTTCAAGGTGTGGTGGATACTCCGAGCCTCACAAACGCCTCGTGCGGTTTTTTTCCAGCATGCCCACAAACTTCAGGCTGCTGCCTCGCCTCAAATCACTGGTGCTGCAGAAGCTGCCTCTCTCGGTTCTCCCTGACTCACTCTGCCAGCTCACCTCCCTGGAGAGTTTCCTCCTGATCGACTGCCAAGAAATCGACCAGCTTCCAATGGATTTTTGCCAGCTCACATCTCTCGAGACGCTCTGCCTTGTGAAGCTGTCCGTTCCTGACGCCATTGGGAGGCTCACCAATCTCGAAACTTTTCTTCTGAACGGGGTGTATACGGAGCCACACCTGCCAGCGCCATTCACCCGGTTGACTTCGTTGACCCGGCTTGAACTAGACGACTGCACAATGAAGAGCTTCCAGAGGACATTGGGAGCCTGCATAAGCTGCAGCAACTGCACGTGTACTCCTGCCATATCACCGAGCTTCCGGAGTCCCTCACACGGCTGACCCACCTTGAAATGCTGACCGTTACGAATTGTGAGGAGCTGTCTCGGGTACCCAGGTGGCTGAACGGCCTCAGGAGACTGAAGTGGCTGGAGCTGACAGAGTGTGATGCGCTGAGCGATGCCCTCAAAAAGCTGCCGCTTTTTCTCGAGGCCCTGAAGCTGGGGAGTTACAGCCAGGTTACAATGTTACCACCAGACGTTTCTAGGTTTCCCAACCTCACGGATTTGAGATTGAACATGGTTAGTGCGGAGTGTGGAATGGCAGTGAGCACGAGCTTGTCCCGGCTGATGCACCTAGAGCTGCTGCTGTCACATGATGCGAGAAGCTTCCGTTTCCCTTAACCCATCTGTCCCAGCTGCGCTTCTTGATGATCTACGGCAGCGGGAACATGACAATGTTCCCCAGAGACAGCGCGTCGGGCTTGCACCAGCTGCGAAAGCTGGAGATTTTCCATGTAGAGGGGCTGCTGGAGCTTCCACCGAGTATCACCTCGCTCCAGCATCTAACCTGCTTGGAGATCTGGGCTCCCAAGGCGACCGCCCTCCCAGGCCGCATCGGTGCGTTATCGCGGCTGCGGAAGCTGGAGGTACGCAACTGTGAAGCCCTGGGACGAATTCCAGATTCTCTAACCCAGCTGGCTTGCCTCACAACAAGTTCGCCTTTGAAGATGTTGCGATCCGCGCACTTCCTCCTGGCTTCGCACGGCTGACCCGGCTGAGGAAGCTGAACCTGCGAGCCTGCCAGAAGCTGGAGGGTCTCCGAGAAGATTTGAGTGAGCTGTGGATGCTGCGGTGCGGTACTTGGATGTTGGGGGGTGTGGCGATGCGGTTAATAGTGGCGACAGTTGGGGTGGTGTGATGCCCCGTGGTGTATGGGCTGTTGATAGGGGATAGGAGAGCTTGATTGATGCGCCTATAGTGTACTTGGGAACTGTTGCTGTGTTTGCTGTTTATATGCTATCTGTTCATACGGATGTATCATGTACTGTACAGCCAGGCTGGGCTTCAATACGTCAGCAGCATGCATCAGTTCCTGTGTACATGTGCATCGGTACGGTAAGGAAGATAGCTTGCCGACACCCTGGAGTATGGATTTCTCCACCGCTCCTCAGCAGATGACTGGAATGGACCCTGGTTAGCAAGGGAAGTTACCTTGTTCAGTCAAATTAAACAAGAGACCAATGTGCAGATTCTAGCGCCTGAACACAAACAAGAGCACGGTGTCAAAACATAACTTAGTACTATGTTATTATAGGCTATATAGGTTTGTGCCTTAAAAGGGTACAACACACTAGCCTATATTCCCTTGCACTCTCTCATTCTAGTCATTCTAGCATTCTAACACACGGCTCATTTGGCCATGCTCATTTGGTTACTAATTCAATCCATTCCACTACCGTAATCTAAGCTGAAGTGCTGATGGTGAGAGGTCACTGCCTGTGCCAAGGCCGCTGCATTGAGCAGTTGGCACCCCCTGCATCACCGTATTGTTAGATGCTTGGTTGGTTGTGGTTCAGACTTCATTTGACTCGAACCGGTCATACAGAGGCTTGGGCGCCGTGTAGGAAATGTTGTTGAAGGGGACTTCTAGGTCCAGTGCGTAAATCTTCTTCACCATCTCGTATGTTTGCTGCAGTGGGCGCACGGCACACAGAGAAAAATGTACATCGCACAGTCTGTCAAGGAGGCAGTTATACGCGACACTGGCACTTGCATGCAAGAGATGGCACTTAGCATGCACACAGAGAATTGGCTATCGTACTGTTCCTCAAGGAGGCAGTTCTACACATTGCTGGCACTTGCATGCAAGAGACGGCAAGCATGTTACCAGAGCAGTGATTGCGCAAAAAGATGCTGCAATTGTGGATGCAAGGGAAAAGGAGCATGTGTAGAAACAGGAGGCATGGGCGAGCGTGTGCTCACCTTGTCATACATCTCCATGAGCTTCTTGTCTGACGTGGTCTGGTGCGCGTTGACTTGGTCTGGTGCGCCCAAGCTGAAGATGTCGAGGTAGCGGCCTCCGAATCGGTTGGTGTTTTTTTAGTCGACTCAAAAATCTTTTCGCATGGGCGAGCGTGTGCTTACCTTGTCATACATCTCCACGAGCTTCTTGTCCGGCTTGGTCTGCTGCGCGGAATCCCAAGCTGAAGATGTCGAACCTTTTGAGTCGACTAAAAAAACAGGAGGCATGGGCATAGGCATGGGAATTGCTTACCTTGTCATACGTCTCGACGAGCTTCTTGTCAGACTTGGTCTGGTGCGCGTTGAGCCCCAAGCTGAAGATGTCGAAATGCTTGCCTCCGAATCGGTTCACCACATGCTTGGCGTCCTCCTCCAGATTCTCAAACCGCCCCACAAAGTCGTACTTGATCAGTCCCAGCGCACACACGTCCCTCTGCACAGAGGGGGGGCATGGGAGCACAGTAGGTGGTTTTTAAAAATTCTCCAGAGAAGGTGGTTTTTTTTAGAGTCCTCAAACCGCCCCACGAAGTCGTACTTGATCAGTCCCAGCGCACACACATCTCTCTGCACTCAGGGGGGAATGGGAGCACACACATGCACACAGGGGAGCAGACAAATGCAGACAGGGGAACATACACAAGCATAAAGACTCTTATGTATGACACAACCAGGGCTGCACTTGATGAGCCCTAGTGCACGTACAGATTGCAGTGGAGCCATTTTTTTAACTCCGCAGTGGCACTTGATGAGCCCCTGCTCGCATACAAGTGATTCTTTAGTCGAATCAAAAATCACTTATGCATGACACAACCGGGGCGGCACTTGATGAGCCCTAGCGTGCATACGGACTGCATTGGAGCCAATTTTGTTAAAACTCTCAAGAATGACTCCGGGACTGCACTTGATGAGCCACAACACGCATACAGACTCCATACAGACATGCGGGAGCAGACACATGCATTAAGACTCTTATGCATGACACAACCAAGGCGGCACTTGATGAGCCCTAGCGCGCATACAGACTGCAGTGGAGCCATTGGTTAGAATTCTCAAGAATGACTCCGGGACGGCATGTGATGAGCCACAACATGCATAAAGGTGATGTCTGAGTCGACTCAGAAGTCAATTCTGCGTGACACAACTGGGGTTGCACTTAATGCGCCAGAGTGCGCATACAGACTGCATACAGACACCAGCGGGTTGCTGCAGACTGGGGCCAGCGGGTTGCTGCATGCCGCCCCCGCACTGCATCCCTCCTTGACCCTGCAGTGATATGCGCAGGTCCGCCCGTGCTCCACTCCACTCCGTGCACCCATCACCTCTCCCTCAACACCACCCTCTACCATGCTCCGACTTGATGCTCTACCATCCTGCATGTCCTCACATCTCCCTCCCATGAGCATCATATCATATCATATCATATCATATCATTCACCACATGTGCCTCACCTGTAGCGCAATGTGGCGGTCCATGTTCCACCGCCGCTCCCTGAACACCATGCCCACCAGCTTCACAAAGTCCCGGAATGACACCAGGTCGTCCACGCCCTTCAACGCCTCCCACTGCGGCCGAATCAGCCGGAAAAACGCCTGCGAGGGGTCAAGGGAGGGGGTAGGAGAAGGGTTGGAGATGCGGTGGGAGAAGTGAGGGGGGGAGTGGGGGGAGAAGCGGGGGGGGGGGGGGGGGGGGGGAAGAAGTGGGGGAGAAGCGGGGGAGAAGTGGGGGAGGAAGTGGGGGGAGAAGCGGTGGGAGGAGTGGGGAGAAGCATGTTCCCCCGTGTGCTACGTAAAAGGGCGACTGGGGCTACTAGGAAGAGAAGGGGGCATCTACAAGAGAAAGGGCTGATGTGGTGCTGTATGAAGCCCATCACCGCACCGCACCCCTCTCAAACGCATCCCTCCCTTCCTCTCTGCCATCAACATGGTTCCAGTACTCCTTTCAGCCCTGGCTGGTCTTGTTGCCGGGCGCGTCGGTGATGCCGGACAGGAAGGAGGAGGGCAGTACACACGGGTGGAGCTAGCAAGGGTGGAGCAAGCAACGGTGGTAGGCGCTCAGGCTCACACACATTGTTCCAGTACTCCTTTCAACCCCGGCTGGTCTTGTTGCCGGGAAGGGGAAGGAGGGACAGTACACACATTGTTCCAGTACTCGCGCGAGCCCGGGCCGGTCTTGTTGCCGGGCGCGTCGGTGACGACCAGCTTGTTGTTGTACGCGGAGAGCACTCGTGAGAAGGGGTTGCGCACAAAGGTGAAGCGGAAGAAGTCAGGGCGGGTCATCAGCTGCACCTGGGGGAGGGGAAAGGGGAGGGGGAAGGGGAGTAGGGTCAGGGGAACAAGTGGATGAGGAATTGGAGAGCACAAGGGTTCCGCACAAAGGTGAAGCGGAAGAAGTCAGGGCGGGTCATCAGCTGCACCTGGGGGAGGGGGGAGGGGAGGGGGGGGAGGGGGAGAGGGGGGGGGAGGGAGGAGGGGACGAGAGTGTGGAAGGTCAGGGGAGAAGTGGGAGAGAATCGGTGAGTGTGAGAGAAGGGGTCGCACAAAGGTGAGGCGGAGAAGTCAGGGCGGGTTGCACGAAGAAGGTAAGAGCGGGAAGAGTGCGAGGGGGAGAAGTGGGATGACCACTGGACTGGACGCACGTTGCGACAAGCCACACGTACCACCCTCTGCTCGGTGCAATGCACGTACCGCTCTCTGCTCGGTGAAATGCACGTGCAGCATGTGCCAGCCCGCGCGGTCGTCGTCCAGCGCCAGCAGCGGGTCCTCCGGGTGCGGCTGCCCCAGCATGGCCCGCAGCCACATGAGCCACGAGTTGGCCGCCACCTTGGGGACCGTGCAGATGAATAGCTTTAGCTTCTCTGGTGGGGGGGGGAGTGGGGGCGGGAGGGAAGCAGCCACATGAGCCATGAGTTGGCCGACATGCTTTTGAGTCGACTCAAAAGGTGCAGATGAACAGCTTCAGCTTCTCTGGTGGGGGGGAGTGGGGAGGGGGAAGGTGAGGAGCGGAAGGTGGGGAGTGGAAGGTGGGGCGGCAGGAAGGCAGTTGGGCACACGCAGATCACAAGCTTAGGCTCCTCTGGCTTTGGGGCGCTTGGGTGAAGAGGGGAGGGGGCGAGGAGCAGAGGCAAGAGAGGAAGCTATGTAGAAGGATGACTTTCCCCTGGAGACCACCACACTATGCCTCCTCCTCCCCAGGTGCCACCTGGGGCTACCATGTGCTACCAGGTGCTACCAGGTGCCACCAGGTGCCACCAGGTGCTACCAGGTGATTTTTGAGTCGACTCAAAAACACCAGGGGAGGGGGCGCGAGGAGCAGAACCAAGAGAAGCATGACTTTCCTCTGGGGACCATGGAACCATGCCTCCTCCTCCCGGCCTGCCACCATGCCTACCCCAATATTCCACCATGCCTGCCCCCCACATTCCACCATGGCGAACATGGACCCCCACCTAATGGACCCCCACCTTATGGACCCCCACCTTCCACCATGGTGAACATGCTCCACTTCTGCTTGGTGAACGGCCGGATCTCACGCCGCTCGCACACCGACTCATGCACGCGGAACCGCGGCGACCGCCTGGCGGCCGCCTGGGCGGCAATGAAGCGCGGCTCGAGGGCGCTGCTGTTGACCGCCATCACCCCGCCCGCGAGGCTCAGAGAGAAGAGCTCCGACGCCTGGGAATGCGGAAGGGGCGGTGTTGAGGGGGGGGGGGAGGAAGGGGGGGGGGGGGGGGTGGGGGTAGTGCTGAAAGAGTGGAAAGGGGCAGGGAGGGAGGTGGTAACAGTCAAAAGCTGAGGTACTTCCACTGGCCTGCAGCCAGGCTGGCAGTGGACTGCTCTCACGCCCGGTGGTGGGGGGGCGAGGAGAAGACCAGAATCAAGTAGCGATGCTAGTTTTGAGGCGCCTCAAAACTAGACTCCTATCACAAGGCACACAGAGTGAAAGGTAGGAAGGAACCCTTGGCATTGCACAGAGCTGACAAGTGAGAGTACGAGAGATGGTCGAAGCGACTTCTGAGTCGACTCAAAAGTCACCTCGTATGCGAGAGGGTCGGAGGGAGCAGGGTTCGACTCAACTGAAAGTAAAACTGCCAAGCCACCAGACCAACATTGCCTAGAAAACGACAACCCACCTGCAGCTGATGGCACCGCATTGAACCCACCTGCAGCTGATGGCACCGCATGAGAACCTCATCTGGCACGTCCAATTTCCGAACGACTCTCATCACTCTCCTTGCCATCCTTCCTTCTCCGTCCCTCCTCTCGCCCCCTGACCCATCACCTCCCCACCTTCCCTCACCGTCTCCCCCCCAACCACATCCTCCTCCTCCCTATCACCACCACCTCCTTTCTTCTCTCTCCCTCCTCCCCCCCCTCCTCCACCTCCACCTCCTCTTCAAGCTGACACGTGGCGACGCGTGATTGGGTGGCCTTGAGCACAACGGGCGACCGGAGGGGGTCAAAGTACTTGGTGACTTGGGGCACGTGCGCAGGGTTGCGGGCGGCAAGGGTGAAGGACACCGAGCGGTCCGCCAGGTAGGCCATGGCAATGCGGCGCATGGCGCATAGAGGGGGGGAGAATTCCGACTCTATGTAGCAGCCAGAGCAACCTGAGGGGCCGAGGGGCTGGGGAATGGGGAATGGGGAGGGGGGGGTGGGGGGCCTGACTTTTGAGTCGACTCAAAAGTCAGAGCGGTCGGCCAGGTAGGCCATGGCAATGCGGCGCATGGCGCAGAGAGGGGGAGAGAATTCTGACTCTACGTAGCAGCCGGAGCAACCTGAGGGGCCGAGGGGCTGGGGAATGGGGAATGGGGAGGGGTGGTGGTGGAGGGGGGGGGGGGGAGAACGTGGAATGGAAAATAGGGAGTGGGGAGTGGGGAGTGGGGAGTGGGGAGTGGGAGTGGGGAGTGGGGAGTGGGGAGTGGGGAGTGGGGATGGGGGAATGATTGATGGGAATGAGAAAGGGGGATAAGGAAGGGACTGGGTTACGGGAGGTGGCGAGATGCGTGAGGAGTCTATTTTTGATGCGCCTCAAAGAATGGTTGATGGGAATGAGAAAGGGGGAAAAGGACGGGACTGGGTTACGGGAGGTGGCGAGACGTTGAGAAGGAAGGGGAGACGAACAACGCAACCGCAATGCAAGGTAGGGCAAGGTAGGGCGCTGAAGGGCACGGTAGGGCACGGAAAGGCACGGAAGGGCAAGGTAGGGCAAGGTAAGGCGCCAACACCAACACCTACTGTACTTGTACACACGTGCGCTCACATCAACATAGAAGGCGGTAGAGTTGGCGATGGTGTGCACATCCTCTTTGAGAACGAGCGATGCTACAAACGGAGACGGCTCCAGCAGCCCAAGGCACTCGTCCACCCGGCGCTCAAACGCACACGCATCCACCACCACTGCCGCCACCGACCCCGCCCCTGAAGGCCCCCGTAGCAACGCGCTCGCGCCCTCCCCCGCTGCTGCTGCTGCTTCAGCAGCAGCGGCGGCAGCAGCACGGTGGGGCGCGAGGAAGAGGTCGTAGGGGAGGAGCTCCTGCGTGGTTGCCTTGGACGCCGCGCACGGCCTCAGCAGCACCTGGGGACGCGTGGGTGGATCGAGAGAGAGGCGATTCAGTTTTGAGGCGCCTCAAAACTAGATGCCGTGCACGCTTCAGCAGCACCTGGGGACGCGTGGGTGGATCGAGAGAGAGGCGATTCAGTTTTGAGGCGCCTCAAAACTAGACGCCGTGCACGGCTTCAGCAGCAGCGGCAGCAGCAGGGTAGGGAGCGAGAAAGAGGTCGTAGGGGAGAAGCTCCTGCGTGGTTGCCTTGGACGCCGTGCACGCTTCAGCAGCAGCTGGGGACGCGTGGATGGAGAGAGGGGCGGTGGAGGGAGGAGAGAGACGCGGTCAGAGTGGCAGAGGGAGATGCAGAGGTGGTGGTGGAGGGAGCGTATATTTGAGGCGCCTCAAGAATAGACTCCTGAAGCAGCAGCTGGGGACGGGTGGACGGAGAGAGAGGCGGTGGAGGGAGGCGAGGGACTAGTTTTGAGGCGCCTCAAAACTAGGCGGCGGAGGGAGGCGAGGGACTAGTTTTGAGGCGCCTCAAAACTAGGCGGTGGAGGGAGGCGAGGGACTAGTTTTGAGGCGCCTCAAAACTAGGCGGTGGAGGGAGGCGAGGGACTAGTTTTGAGGCGCCTCAAAACTAGGCGGTGGAGGGAGGCGAGGGACGCGGCCAGAGTCGCAGAGGGAGATGCAGAGATGACGTGGCCGTGGCAGGAAGACGAGAAGCGGAGCTGCGGTCTAGGGATGGGCGCATGGGCGCATGGGGACATGGGGATATGGGGGCATGGGGGCACGGGGGCATGGGGACATGGGGACATGGGGACATGGGGACATGGGGACATGGGCGGACGGGTGCATGGGGACATGGGGACATGGGCGCATGGGTGCATGGGTGCATGGGTGCATGGGCGCATGGGTGCATGGGTGCATGGGTGCATGGGCGCATGGGTGCATGGGCGCATGGGGACTTGGGGACACGGGGACATGGGGGCATGGGGACACGGGCTCATGGGGACTTGGGGACATGGGGACATGGGCGCATGGGTGCACGGGTGCATGGGTGCATGGGTGCATGGGCACATGGGTGCATGGGCGCATGGGGACATGGGGACTGGGCCATGGGGACTGGGCCATGGGGACATGGAATCGGGGAGAGGGGGCATGGCGAACCAGAGTGACATCTCACGCTGGTTGCGTGCCCTCACACATGGCTCGCTTGTGCCCACCTTGGCTTGGCATTCCTGTGCCACCGTTTCGACCAGCGACTACTGGCGCGCCTCTCCTCTAAACACGAGACCCAAGTCATCCGCGCCCTGAGGCAGCCCTCCACCGCTCACTCACCTTCCGAGACAGCCGTGAGGCCGCCGCACCCTCGCACTGGCCGCTGGTACAATGTGACTCTTGAGCCGACTCAAAAGTCACCTCGTTACAATGTCACACAACACCATGCGCGCCCCTCACCTTCCCAGACAACCCCGAGGCGAGCTGCCGCCGCACCCTCTCACTGCCCACTGGCATGCCGCATGCCGCTCCTCTAAACAAGTGGAAGCTATCCCGTGTTTAGAGGAGCGGAAGCTATCCCGGGACCCCAAGTCCTCACCTTCCGAGATAGCCCCGAGGCGAGCTGCCGCCGCACCCTCTCACTGGCCACCGGTAGATCCCTCACCCACACCCCGCCCTTCCCCCCGCTCACTCCCCGCCCGTCCGCGTCCCCCTGCTGCTGCTGCTGCTGCTGCTGGTGCTGCTGCTGGCGTTGGTGGGAGGGGACGACGCGGAGAAGAGGTGCGAGAAGCGCGTGGAGGGCATGTGGCGGTCGGAGGGCCAGAGGGAGAGGATGGGCATGCTGGTGAGAGCCGTCACTGCGTACGCCGCACACACCGCGCGCACGCGCGCGGACAGGGAGCCCTGGGGGGGGGGTGGTGGGGGGAGAGGGAGGGAGGGAGGGGGGCGGGGGGGGGGGGGAGGGGGAGGGAGGGAAAGAAGGTAGGGGAGATTGAGAAGTATGAGGGATAAGGGCATGGCATAAGCCCTTGTAAGTATGCGCGCACTTCACGGGCACAAGCCCTTGTGAGAATGCACACACAGCACGGCACAAGGCCATGCCATGCCATGCCATGCCATGCCATGGCACGGCGCCTGCATCACGCGGCGTACCTCAGCGAGCATCACAGCAGCCGCACCACCGCAATCGCCCCACCCCCCGCCGCCGTCCTCGCACCGCCACGGATCCACCTCGCCCGACCCAACTCCGTCCCCGACATACGCGTCCTCGCTACTACCCACTGCCAGATACCCGCTCAGGTCGCCCTTCTCGCCGCTCGCCTTCCAGAGCTCTGCGATCTTCTGCGACGCTTTGAGCAGCGCGCGGCCGTTGAGCACCGTGAGGTCGCTCCTGTCGCACGAGCAGCTCCAGTGCGACAGCCCGGCGACCGTCGCTGCGACGACGAGCAGCGGTGCCAGCAGCCACAGCAGCAGGCGGTGCCGCTCGGGATGACTGCTCTGAGGCTTCCGCTTGCCTAGTAGGGGCGTGGCAGCGTGTGTGAACGACATGGTCGGGTGCGTGACATCGCGTGTATGCCACGCATCGGATGCGGTCATACTGCGGAACTTGCGTAGACGACGGCAGCGGCGGCGTAGGTAGAAGTTGATCCTGGCCGCGGCGGTAGACGGAAGCTGATGTGCCTACTACTGCGGTCAGCCGGCGATGCGAACGTGTGTTCTAATAGGTGGCCATCGACGGCGCTTGCTACAATGGACGGCGATTAACTACTACCAGCTTAGGCTCCTGCTACTCGTAGTAGTACCGTACTACCTCGATAGTCTGCGCTAGCCACCGCCAGTCGAGTCCAGTCCGCAGGCGAGTCCCGTTCAACACGGCGAGACGACGGAGAGACGTCAGCCAGCGAGCTGGTGAAATTCGGTAATCGCAACCGCGAGACGACGGGGAGCGAAGGGCCTAAATGCGGTTAACTACAGCCCTAACTGGATTCTGAGCAGGCAGTGGCCATAACCGAAGACCTCCGAGGCGTAAATTTCGTCCCTTCCGCTGCTGGACCGCCTTCCACGCTGTTATTCACCTAGACCTTTTCTCTGCACAGATATAGCCTACACTAGATGTCGGCGGAATTTCGACGCACTTCACCAGCCGCAATCATCTGTTTCCCCCCATCCGTCCAATCAGCTTCCAAGGGTGGCCATACTTTTCTCCCTCTGACACCTCCCATCGGCTCTGACATGTCTGCTCTACAGAGGCCGAGGTGGGCTTTCTTGCGAAAGGAGGCAAGTTAGGCAGGCTTGGGCTGATTGGTCTGGGCTAAAGGTGTATTCCCAAAATGGTGTCATTCCTGTCAGTGTTATCCGATAAATCTGGAAACCAATCACGTGCGTTATTGTTTTAACTTTGAAGCATGCAATTAGTTATCAACTTTGTTGGATGACATTTTATTTCACAATGACACCTGCCAAAAATAAGCCCCGATTGGTTTGGAGGAAGGCGGGAAGGGGGATTTGTCGGGATCGTGGAAGCGAGGGAGGGAGGAAGGTGGAGGAAGAAGACCCAGGCTCAAAAGTGTCGGGCAGGGGAACAGTAACTTTGAAGTCGCGTCGCAACGGAAATAACCTCGGCTGGTGGGGTGGCGGGTCAGCGGGGTCTGGGCTGGGTTGGTGGGTGGTGGTGAGGCGAAGCGGGGGGACCTAGGGAAAATCGGGGGTGGGAAGGGAACTGAACAGGGAGGGGGCCCCTCTGATTTGACAGCGGGAGCGGCAGGGGCGTCGCGATAAATTCGGGGCTTGGTGTAGGGCGCAGAGTTTTTTGTAGGGGCGCCCCGGGAGAGGTGTCGTTCCCAGCCGTACGGTCAAAAGCTGGCTCAGGGCGCGGTGCTTTGCCCTTGGTTCGTAAGGCCACTTCGATTTTTTCACAAGGTGCTATGTTCGTCTGCTCGTCAAACCATAGCGAAAACAATAATACTTCTAGAGGCGATGGTCGTGTGATGCCTCGCAGCGTTCGAGTTTCAAAAAGAGAATCATGATTTTCGCTTTATCGCCGCGCCCTCAATGCGCCGACATTTTCCTGACCACTCTGTTGTCCGAACCCGAACCGCCGACGGGACACCAAACCTGGAAGTATGGCACCACAGCACATGGTTCTGACAAGCTTGTAAATCTGCAGGAATGTGTTACAAGATTGTGTGAATGTTATAAATTAATCAGAGTAATAACAGGTAGTGTAATAAAGGAGTCGTGATTCAAGAGTCTCAATACAAATGAATGTCAAGGCTTTAATAGGCACGAACAAAGCTAGCCGAGAACCACGCGAATAGGTTGGGGCGATTCGGTTGGCGAAAGCCACGGAAGCGCTGTGCGGCTAGGTTTGGGTTCACGAACGGGTTCGCGAACTGGTTCGGGACCGAAGAAGTTGGCCGAGAAATGGACTTCCGATAGTCGAGGGCGTACGCGTTGTAGCTGGGTCCTGTAAGGAAAAGGGAATTTCCTTACACCACCCCCCTTCTGGGATGAGACTACCCACATCGGGGACACGTCGTCGGTGTAAATAGTCCCGGACGACTTTGTGTTCGCCGAGCATAACTGCGGGAACCCAAAGGTCGTCGTCAGTCGTACGATCGACCCATCTTACAAGGAAATCAACGATTGCTGTGTCGCGATAACCTCGTATGCGATGAGCAAGAATCTTGGACGGTTCGATTGTTGGCTCGGGTACTGGGTTGACCGCAGGATTGATGTGTTGACGGTCGAGATTAGTCGTACTCGGGACGAACGGTCGCAGGAGACTGGCGTGAGAGGAATCATGAATTCGCCAGTCGACCGGCAGTTGCGGCTGGGCGGTGACTGGTGTCACCATGCGGATGATGTAGAATGGGCCACAAAATATTGGTCGTAGTTTATTTCGGAGGGGTATTCCCAAATTTCTGGTGTCGAGCAGGACCAATTGCCCAGGGGCAAATGTTAAGTCACGGCGTCGTCGGTCCGCTTGCTGCTTAGCCCTCTGGTTGGCTTTTAGGATAGCATCGACGGCTTTTTGCTGAGACTGTCGGAGATTTTCGACGAACTGCTGAGATCTTGGTGCCAGATTTTCTATTGATGGCAATAGAGGAGTTGTTGGGTCTATCCCATAATTGAGGAAGAACGGGGACTCAGTAGTCGTGGCTGAGGGGTGTTGTTGTACGCAAACTCGATCAGGGGAAGGGAGTCTTCCTATTGGGCCGGGTCAGTGCACGTTGTGCGAATCAACTGCTCCATCGTCTGATTGGTGCGCTCAGTCTGACTGTCTGATTGTGGGTGGTATGCCGTGGACAGATGCAGACGTGTGCTGTACCGCTGCCAGGTTTTTGTCCAGAAGTTGGACGTGAACCGAGGGTCGAGATCGCAGATGATTGCCGAAGGAATGCCATGTAGTCGCTCGATGTTCATGAGGAACAGCTTCGCTATCTGCTCGGCAGTAATTGCCGTCTTGCAGGCGGCGAAGTGGGCCATCTTGGTCAACCGGTCAACGACGACTAAAATCGCGTCGTTACCGCTTGGACCAGCTGGCAAGCCAGTGACGAAATACATCGTCACTTGTTGCCAGGGTCGGCTGGGTGGCTCGAGCGGCTGCAGCAATCCCGCAGGTCGGAGTCGTGACGTCTTCATGCGTTGACACGTGGCACAGGAGGTGACGTAATGCTGTACGTCTGTCGGCAAGTCAGGCCAGTAATAATTACGACTCAGTAATTTGGCAGTTTTGTCGATGCCGTAGTGACCCGAGAAATTCGAGTCGTGTGCCTCCTGTATCAGTAGCTCGCGTAGAGTACGGTAGGCGGGAACCCAAATCCGATTGGTACCGGATTTTGCTTGATCGTCAGTTGGGGATGACTGTTAGTGGTGAAGAATAGATCGGTACTGTATCCGTGGGTGAATAGACCAGTTAGCAGCAAATTAGCTTGGGTAATTAGGACTGCGGCGGTATGGACTGAAGGGCGGGTCAGTGCGTCGGCGATGTTGCTAACCCCCTGTTTGTAGGTGACCCTGTAGTGGAAATTTGACTCGAGGTCATTGAGCCAGCGAATCTGTCGGGGATTCAGTGTCAGTTGGGCGCGGATGAACTGTAGGGATTTGTGGTCTGTTCGGACTGTCACGTCAGCGCCCGTCAGGTAGCAGCGCCAGACTTTGAAAGCGTGAACGATGGCGAGTAACTCCTTGTCGTGGACAGGATAATTTCGCGCGGCCGGGTTCAGCTTTCGTGACTCGTAGGCGATGGGTTGAAGGCCTTCGCCAAAGTCTTGTAACAGTACTGCGCCAACGGCCAGATTGCTAGCATCGGTGATGAGCTTGAACGGATGGTGAGGGTCTGCAATCCGAAGAATTGGAGGTGTAGTCAGGAAAAGTTTTAGCTGTTCAAACGCAACTTGCTGCTCTCCCCCCCACTCATAAAACTTGCCTTTCTGCAGAAGATCTGTAAGAGGGGAAATTACCCTCGCCATGTTGGGAATGAACCGACAGACGTAATTCACAAACCTCAGAAAACTTTGAAGTTCGCGGAGATGAGCCGGCGGCTTCCAGTCTTTGATGGTCACAATTTTCTTTGGGTCGATTTTAACACCGTTTATGGAAATGACGTGTCCTAGGAACTCCAGTTCCTGCTTGAGAAACTCGTACTAAGAGCCCTTGGTGATGAGTCGGTTCTGCTGCAAGAGAGAGAAAACTACGGCCAAATCCTTTAAATGCTGCTCTCGGGTAGTGCTGTAGATCAAGATGTCGTCAAGATACACGATGACGCATTTATCCAACATCGGCCGAAAAACTTCGTACATGGTTAACTGGAACGTCGAAGGCACATTTGTTAAGCCAAAGGGCATAACCGTGTACTCGTAGCTCCCGTACCAGGTGCGGAACGCCGTTTTGTAGCAGCCAGCTTCGTTTATGCGGATCTGATGGTAACCGTCTCGCAGGTCAATTTTCGAAAAGAACTTGGCTTCGTGAAGTTGGTCGATGAGTTCGTCGGCACGCGGGATAGGATAGCGAGACTTGATGGTAACTCGGTTCAAGGCGCGGTAGTCAATACACATTCGTAAACCGCCGTCTTTCTTCGGGGTGAATAGGATCGGTGCTGCGAAAGGTGAAGTGCTTGGCCGAACGAATCCTTTCTCGAGTAGGTAGTCCAGCTGGCGCCGAATCAGTAAATGTCACCTGGAAAAATGTCGGCGTGCTTGCGAATCAGTATTGCCAAATCATCCGAAACAGCTGCGCAGAGTTTATCGATGTCTGTTGATAGCCGTGGATGCGAGCCATCGGACGGCGTATAGTTGGGCCCCTCGAATCATGGCTCGTTTGATCGTCACCGTGCTAACCATTGATGTGGTCGAATCTTGACAGCTCCACTTGGGTACTCGTCGCCACTCGCCACTCCATTTTATGCGACAATCGCCCGTCCGCCAATCGTTGCTCAGGTTGTATTCGTGCAGCCAATCGCGTCCCAGCAGCCTGTCGCAGCCGTCCAAAGTTGTTGCCAACATCTTCGTCGTGAAACTGAAATTTTCGCCACAGGTGACCCGCACATGAGGTACTCGTTCCCGAATTGCCAGGGGTGTGCCGTCGACCAATCGCGCGTCGATTTCAGGCATGCAGCACTCCAGCTGCAGTCGCAATTTTTTCGCCTTCGTCACGTCCATCAAACTGTGGCTCGCCCCGCCATCAACGAATATTTTGATGCGGGTGTCTCCAACTCTCCCTTCGACCAGCACAGGGTGATCAACTGGTTCACCCCCCTTATTTAGCCAGGAATGGTCGATAGCCCAAATCGGCACTATAGCCTGGTGGGGGTGGTGGCGTTTGGGCAACGCAGTCAAATCAGTAGGTGGCCCATCTGCTACTGACGATCTCCATTTCCCGACTGCTTCTTGTCGTTAGGTAATTTCTTCTTCAGCTGCGGGCAGTCCCTCACCATGTGACCAGGCTGGTTGCAGTGGAAGCAGTTCCCCGAAAATACTCGGGCTGCAAACACGTCCACGCCGTTGATTGATGTGTGTTGGGGCTGGCCTCGAAAACAATTTCCCTCCCGGAAACCCGCTCTCGCGAGTCCACGTCGCGTGTCTAGCGCATCTGCCATGCGAACAATTTCATTGAAGGTCATCGGGGCTCGCAGGACAATTTCTTGCTGAATCTCCGGCTTGAGTCCACCCACGTAGCGATCAATTTTCTCGTCCTCGCTGATCCCTCTTATTTGGTCACAGATTGCCAGAAACGACGCCGTGTATTCT